CNCCNCCGCCGCCGCCGCCGCCGCCGCCCCGAGACGCGCCGCGACGGAATACAAACAGCTTCGCGGCGTGCTGATCGCGCTCGAGCAGCGCATCGCGTCTGAGCTCGCGTCGAGCGCGAGCGTCAGAGTAGACGCGTCGGGAGGAGGGGAGGAGCTCGTGAAGCCCGGCGAGGCGTTCTTCGAGCTTCTCGCGTCGTTAAACGTCTACGAAGCGGGCGAACACGGCGACACAAAGGCGAAACTCTTAGAGGTGATGCGCGACGCGGTGACGCTGCTCGCGAGCGACGCCGCGTCCCTCGGCGCGCGGAGCAAGTCGAGGGCGAGCGCGTACAGACTGCAGGAGATCGCGGACGCGATCGAGAAGGCGTTCGAGATGCGAAGGGACGGGCACGTGGACGCGTTCCGTCTTCGCGTCGGCGCCGACGCGACCGGGATGCGAAACGGCGGGACGGGGATGCGAACCGGCGCCGGCCTGCGCCCGGGCCCGACGCTGAGCTTCTGGTGCTTCACCCCCGGGGTGGTGATGCGCGCGTTCGAGGACCTCGCGGTGCGGTCGGTCGTCCTCACCTCCGGGACGCTTTCGCCGATGAGAACCTTCGCCGCGGAGTTGCGCGCGCCGTTTCCGGTGAGACTCGAGAACCCGCACGTCATCTCGCCCGGGCAGGTGTGGGGCGGGATCGTGCCCGTGGGACCGAGCGGGAAGAGGCTCAACTCGTCGTACCGGTTCCGCGACACGGACGAGTACAAGCACGAGCTCGGCGGCGTCGTCGTGAACTTCGCGCGGGTGATCCCCGACGGACTGCTCGTGTTTTTTCCATCCTACGGCGTCATGCGGTCGTGCGTGGAGGCGTGGCAAACGCACGGGAACCCGACGATATGGGACCGCATCGCCGCGGCGAAGCACCCGGTCGTGGAGCCGACGGATAAGGCGTCGTTCATGGCCGCGTTCGAGGAGTTTAACGACGCGATCGACGACGGCGCGGGGGCCGCCGGGGGCCGACGCGGGGCGGTGTTTTTCGCCGTGTGCCGCGGGAAAGTGAGCGAAGGCATCGATTTCGCGGACAAAGCCGGTCGCGGGGTCATACTCACCGGCATCCCGTACGCTCCGAAAGCGGACCCGAAAGTCAGGATCAAGCGCGCGTTCTTGGACTCGGCGCGCGGGAAAATAACGGACGCGGACGATGCGTTACTATCCGGAGAGGAGTGGTATTCGCAAACCGCGATGCGCGCGGTGAACCAAGCGTTGGGCCGCGTGATTCGACACCGCGACGACTACGGCGCCGTCATCCTCGCGGACGAGCGGTTCGCGTACGGCAACGTCCGTGGGTCCCTCTCCGTGTGGTTGCGACCCGCGGTGCAGAGCTTCGACTCGTTCGGGAAGGCGACGGCGAAGCTGTCTCAGTTTTTCAAGCGGTGCGTCTCGACGTTGCCGCCGCCGAGGGCGAAAGCGGCGGCGGCGCGGGGGCCCGGAGGTGCGGACGGCGGCGGCGCTGTCGCGCCCACGGTCGCGATACCGGCGATGTTCAAGGTGGACGTCAACTCCGCGCCGCAGGCGTATCCGCGCGCGACAGGTGGCGCGGGAGGAGGAGGAGGAGGCGCGGGCGGGGGCGGGGGGCTTCTCGCGGCGCTCGCCTCCAAAAAACCGACGACGAAACCGACGACGACGACGACGACGGCGACGGCGGCGGCGGCGGCGGCGGCGGCGGCGACGACGACGACGCGACCGCCGCCCGCGCCCGCGGCGTCCGACGCGTCGAGTAAGTCCTCCGAGAGCGTCAAGCTCTTCCTGAGACGCGCCAAGTCCGAGCTCGGGAGGAAGGCGTTCGACGACCTGTCCGACGCGTTGCGGGACTTCCGCGAGAAGAAGCTCGACGTCGGCGGCGTGCTCAAGGCGGCGACGCGGATCTTACGCGCGCGGGGTGCGTTCTATACACTGGTCCCCATACGACCGCGTTGGCGTGGTGAACGCCGATCCTTAAGGACTTTGCCCGGCGCATCTCTCCGCCCAGGGTCCCTCGCTTTCAATCCCGACACACCTCGATGCCTTTCGACTCCGCTTCTGACGCCTTTAAACTCCACCCCGACGTCGCTTCGTATGGAACGACCCTCAGAGGACCCGTGGGGTCTGTACGCGCTCTTCGGCGCCTTCGTCCCCGCGGAGCACAGAGCGACGCACGCGAAACACGTGGACGCGCTGCAGCGGATGGCACGCGAGAGGGGCGGGGTCGGGGGCGGGGGCGGGGGCGACACGGCGTATACGGCGGCGGGGGAGAGGAAGCGCGCGCGGGTGGACGACGCGGGTCCCGCGGGTCCCTCGGGTTTAAGGTGCGTTCTATACACTAGTTCCCATACGACCGCGTTGGCGTGGTGAACGCCGATCCTTAAGGACTTTCGCCGGCGCATCTCTCCGCTCACCCCTCGCTTTCAATCCCCGCCCTCGGCGCCTTTCAACTCCGTCTGACGCCTTTCAACTCCACCCCGACTTTCGCTTGTATAGAACGGCCCTAAGTCGCGGGCTCTCGCGCGCGGCTGTCGGCGGGAGCGTCGGCGCCGGTCGCTGTGGGTCGCAGAGTCAGCGGAGCGCGTCGCAGAGCGCGCCGTCGGTCGCGCTGCCGCCGCCGCGGTGCGTCGTGTGCCAGAACGCGTGTTCGAAACCGTTCGAGGCGGCGTGCGGGCACCCGGGGTGTTACGGGTGTTGGCTCGGGTTGTTGTCCGCCGCGAGGGGCCCCGGCGCGCCGGAGTGCCCGTCGTGTCACAAGCCCGTGGTGAAGCGGCAGCTCTCGAAGGTGTTCTTCACGTGACGCGAGGCGACGCGAGGCGGGGCGAGGCGAGGGGTAGCGAGGGGTAGACGAGCTGTAAAACGTTCTTGAATGAAATTGCAACGCGCGTGGACGCGCCGCGCGCGCACGTACGACGTACTTCAAAAGAAAACCAATCCAATCGCGATACACCCCGGCGACTCCTCTCTCACCCGACGACGCTGCGGCTGCGCTTCGCGTTCTCCATCTTCATGAAGTTCAGCGCGCTGCCGTGCTTAAACCACTCGATCTGCTCGTCGTTGAACGTGTGATTCACGCGGACATCGAACGCGTCCCCGCCCGCCGCCGGGTGCACGCGCAGCGTCAGACCGCTCCCGGGCTTGAACGCGTCGTCCTCGAGCCCGAGCACGTCGACGACGTCGCAGCCGGAGATCTTATCGTAATCCCCGGGGTCCGCGAACGTCAGCGGAAGCATGCCCTGCTTCTTCAAATTCGTCTCGTGGATGCGCGCGAACGATCGAACGACGACGGCGACGCCGCCGAGGAACCGCGGCTCGAGCGCGGCGTGCTCTCGAGACGACCCCTCGCCGTAGTTTTGATCGCCGACGACGATCCACTTGATCCCCGCGTCGCGATACGCGCGCGCCACCTCCGGCACCTTCCCGACCGCCCCCGTGCGGTGGTGCGTCACCGCGTTCGTCTTCCCCGTCTCCGCGTTCACCGCGCCGATGAGCATGTTCTCGGAGATGTTCGTGAGGTGACCGCGGAACTTGAGCCACGGGCCCGCCATGGAGATGTGGTCCGTCGTGCACTTGCCCAGCGCCTTGATCAGGACGGGGCACCCGACGTAATCTCTCCCGTCCCACGGCTCGAACGGCTTGAGGAGCTGCAGACGTTTGCTCTCCGGATCGACCGCGACGTTTACTCCGCTGCCGTCCGCCTTGGGCGCCTGGAAGATGCTGTCGTCGATGTCCCACCCCGACGGGGGGATCACCGGGCACCCCTCCGGGATTTTGAACCGAAACTCTTTTCCGTCGGGCGTCGTCAACGCGTCCGCGTACGGGTTGAAATCGAGGCGGCCGCTGAACGCGAGCATCGTCACCAGCTCCGGGGACGTCACGAACGCGTGCGTGTCCGGATTGCCGTCGTTGCGCTTCGCGAAGTTGCGGTTGTACGACGTCACGATCGTGTTCTTCACCCCCGGGGGCATCCGACGCTTCCACTGCCCGATGCACGGGCCGCACGCCTTGGCCAGCACCGTCGCGCCCGCGGATTCGAATATCTCCACGAACCCGTCCTTCTCGATGTTGACCTGCACTGCTCTTGACCCGGGGGTGACGTAAAAGTCGATCGCGTACGTCAGCCCCGCGTCCAGGGCTTGCTTCGTCAGGTTAGCGCACTTCGCCATGTCCTCGTACGACGAGTTCGTGCACGACCCGATGAGGCACGACGAGATCTCGACGGGCCAGCCCTCCTTCGCGGCGCGCGTTTTCAGCTCGCTCACGGGCGTGCACAGATCCGGCGTGTACGGACCGTTGATGTGCGGGCCCAGCGCGGAGAGGTCGATCTCGACGACGCGATCGTAGACGCACCCCTCGTCCGGGACGAGGTTATGGCGGTTCTTCGACGCGAGGCGCGCCACCTCGCCGCGGCCCGTCTCTCGGAGGTACTCGAGCTGGCGTTCGCTGAGCGCGAACACGGACGTCGTCGCGCCAATCTCCGCGCCCATGTTGCACACGGTGGCCATCCCGGTCGCGCTGATCGTGTCCACGCCCTCGCCGAAGTACTCGATGATCGCGCCGGTTCCGCCGCTCACGGTGAGAATGTCCGCGACTTTCAGGATGATGTCCTTGGGCGTCGTCCAATTCGCGAGCGCTCTGAGGGTCGTTCCATACGAGCGAACGTCGGGGTGGAGTTGAAAGGCGTCAGTTGGAGTTGAAAGGGGTCGATTTTGGGAGTTGAAAGCGAGCTGTGGGAGGAGAGAATCGCCGGCGAAAGTCCTTAAGGATCGGCGTTCACCACGCCGACGCGGTCGTATGGGAACCAGTGTATGGAAGGACGCACCCGGTCAGGTTCACGCCGATGACTTTCGGGGCTTTGAGCTCCCACGGCAGCGACGCCATGACGTCCACCGCGTCCGCGCCGCCGACGCCGACCGCGCACATCCCCAACCCGCCCGCGTTCGGCGTGTGCGAGTCGGTGCCGATCATCAGACCGCCGGGGAAGGCGTAGTTTTCGAGCACCGTCTGATGGATGATGCCGGCGCCGGGCTTCCAATATCCCATCCCGAATTTGTCCCCGCACGACGACAGAAAGTCGTACACCTCCTTGTTCTCCACGTTGGCGTTCCCCAAGTCCTCCACGTCGCCCGTCTCCGCGGCGATGAGATGATCGCAGTGGATCGTCGTCGGCACCGCGGTCTTCGGGAGCCCCGAAGAGATGAACTGCAGAATCGCCATCTGCGCGGTGGCGTCTTGCATCGCGACGCGGTCCGGCCGCAGCTTGAGGTACGACGCGCCGCGCGTCGGCGCGTCGCCGCCGCGGACGTCGTCGAGGTGCCCGTACACGATCTTCTCCGCGAGCGTCAGCGCGACGTCATTCCCGCCCAGCTTCTCGCGAACCGCCTTGATGTTCTCGTCCAGCGTCGCGTAGATCTCGTTCACCGTCTTACTCCCCGGAGGATCCAGCGCGCTCATCATGATCTCCTGAGGGTCGTTCCATACAAGCGATTGTCGGGGTGGAGTTCAAAGGCGTCAGGTGGAGTTGAAAGGCGCCGCGGGCGGGCGTTGAAAGCGCGGGGTGGGCGGAGAGAGACGCCGGGAAAAGTCTTTAAGGATCGGCGTTCACCACGCGAACGCGGTCGTATGGGGACCAGTGTATAGAACGCTCCTGATCCACGAGCGCGTTGAACGTCTCCGACGGCCGCATCGCGCGCTCCGCCTCGTCGACGTCTGGGAGCCAGTACCCGCCGACGTCCACGCTCGATCCCTGGCACTCCGTGAGCTCGCGCACGATGACGTCCTCGCTCGCGGCGAGGTCGGACGCGAGCTGCTTGAACGACGGAAGCGCTCTGGAGACCGCCTCCGCCCACCACATCGCGACGTAGAAGTGCGCGGCGCGGTTATCGGGTTCGCCAACCTTGCGTCCCGGCGATTTGTTCTCGTCGAGGAGCTTCCCCGTGGCGGTCGTCAACCCCTTCGCGAGCGTCTTGATCTTCGGGTTCCGCGTCTTGTGCGCGAGGTCCTCCAGGGACACCGCGAGCGCGAGGTACTCCCCCAGCGAGTCCCAGCGCAGGTGGTTCTCCTCCGTAAACTGCTGCACGTGCTTGGGCGCGCTGCCCCCCGCGCCAGTCTCGAAAAGGCCGCCGCCCCGCAGCAGCGGGACGATCGAGAGCATCTTCGCGGACGTCCCGAGCTCGATGATCGGGAACAGGTCGGTGAGGTAATCCCTCAGGACGTTGCCCGTGACGCTGATGGTGTCTTGACCCGCGCGCGCGCGCGTCATGCTGAAATCGATCGCGTCCACCGGGGACTTGATCGAGACGTCCGCGTCGGCGACGTCGTGATCGGCGAGGTACAGCCGAACCTTGGACGTCAGCGCGACGTCGTGCGCGCGGTTCGGGTCGAGCCAAAACACCGCGGGCGCGCCCGTCGCGCGCGCGCGGTTCACCGCGAGCTTGACCCAATCCCTGATCGGCTCGTCCTTCGTCTGACACATCCGCCACAGGTCGCCCTCGGACACGGCGTGCTCGAAGACGACGTCGTCGTCGTCGTCGCCGTTGAAAACCTTCACGACGCCGTCGCGCTCGATCACGAACGTCTTATCGTGCGAGCCGTACTCCTCCGCCTTTCGCGCCATCAACCCGACGTTGGAGACGCTGCCCATGGTGGAGACGTCGAACTTGCCGCGCTTCTTGCAGTCGTCCACGCACGCGGCGAACACCGCGGCGTAGGACCGGTCCGGGATGACGCACACGACGTCCTCGAGCTCGCCGTCCGCGTTCCACATCCGCCCGCCGTCGCGGATCATCGCCGGCATGGACGCGTCGATGATCACGTCGCTCGGCACGTGGAAATTCGTGATCCCCTTGTCGCTGTCCACCATCGCGACGCGAGGGCGGTTCGAGGACGCGTACGTCGCCGCGATCGAAGCTTCCACCTCCGCGCGATCCGCGTCGGGGAGATTTTTGATCGCGTCGAGCACCGCGCCGAGGCCGTTGTCCGCGTTGGCGCCCACGGATTCGAGCGCGCTCGCGTGCTTCTCGAACGCGTCCGCGAAGTACGTCCGCACGACGGTGCCGAAAAGCACGGGGTCGGACACCTTCATCATCGTCGCCTTGAGGTGCAGCGACACCATGACGTCGTCCTTCGCCGCCTGAGGGTCGAAATTGTCCATACGAGCGATGATATCGGGGTGGAGTTAAAAGGCGTCAGTTGTTGGAGTTGAAAGGCGTCTTTCGAGGCGCGTCGGGATTGTGAGCGAGGGACCCTGGGCGGAGAGGGATGTCGACCGGGAGATAAAGTCCTCAAGGAACGGCGTTCACCGCGCCAACAACGAACGCGGTCGTATGGGGACCGGTGTAGCGCAACAACAGAACAGAACGCGCCTGACGCAGCGTCTCCTCGGCGAACGCGGCGAGCTTCTCCGCGGACATCGTCGCGACGTCGACGATCTCCCCCGGGAGCGCGACGACGGATCGCTTCAGCGTCTGAATCACGCCTCCTCCACCGTCGCCTTTGGCGTGCAGCTCCACGCGCAGCGTCGCGGGCTCGCGCGATTCGTTCGTCCACGACTTCTCGGAGCCGTAAAAGTCGCCGTCGCTCATGGACGCGACGCGCGTCGAAGAGTCGGCGCGCCAATCGGCGAGGCGGTGGGGATTTTTCTTCGCGAAGTCCTTCACGGGGGGCGCGACCCGCCGGTCGCTGTTCCCCTCTCGCAGCACCGGGTTCACCGCGCTGCCGATGACTTTCGCGTACCGCGTCGCGATCGACAGCGTCTCCGCGTCCATCGTCTCCGCGTTGGCCTTTCCCGGGTACTTCGGGAGGTCGTATCCTTTCGATTTAAGCTCCGCGACGCACGATTCGAGCTGCGGGACTGAGAGACATTCCATTCCATACAAAAAAAAATCACCGGTCAGTTGAAAGGGGACGCGATCAAATGTTGAAAACGGGTACTGTAATGATGGGTGAAAAACTTTTGTACAGAACGCACCTGACGCGCTGACGTTGGGGAGCTTGATGATGTTCGCGCGCTCCGTCGTCGCGAGCTCGCCGAGCTTCGCGAGGACGTCCGTCTTGCGCTGCGCGGGCGTCAGGCGCTCCGGGAACGCGGCGAGGACGCGCGACGCGAGGGAGATGTCCGCGCTCTCGACGCTCACGCCGACGCCGCCGCAGAATCGGCGGACGACGGGAAGGAACGCGTGCGTCGCGAGCGCGGGGGCCTCGTCCGTGAGCGTCCACCAGATCTTCGCGGACTTTTTCACCCCCGGGGCGTCCGCGCCGTTCGGATCCGTCATCGGCATCGTGTCCGCGGCGCTCGCGGGCGTCGACCGGCTTCGCGCGCGATCGGCGCGCGCGCGGGGACGACGACTTTTCGAGGCGTCGAGGAAAAAGGGCGAGGCGCTTTTTCCGGAGAGGACGCGCCGTGAAGTGGGATCTGGGTTCCGTGACGCGAGCGACGCCGCGGAAGAGAGCTCGAGCGCGCGCGCGCGCGCGAGGAGCTTCGCGCGAAGAGGTCTCGCGCGGCGGCGAGAGGAGGGAGGTCGGCGCGGGCGATGCGCGAGCGGCGAGACGAGGGCGTGCGTCGAGACGCGCGTCAGCATCAAGTGCGGCATTCTACCTTTCGGTGACTCTGAGATATTTCCGATTCGGGTATTGAAACTTTGACGCGCTGCGCGCCAATTCGGGTCGGTCGTATTAGCTCGCAGCGTGCGTAGGGGGCTGACGGCGCAGAAAAAGAAAAAAAGCCCACGCGCGCGTCAACGGCCACGTCAAAGGCGTATGGACAGATAGACTGAGCTCGGACGCTTAACCTAGAAGAATTGCGCGTACTGCGGTCACAGTGCGACGGCCGGAGACGCGGCGGCACGCGCGGGTCGACGCGCGTCGGTAGATGCGAGCGAGGGAAACGGTCGACGCGTGCTGAACCCGCATCGATCGACCGCGCGCGCACGCGTCAGCGCGCTTCGGCGACCGCGATCCGCGCCGCTCGGGGTTAATTTTGGCGCGCGAAAACCACTCGCAGGGTGAAAGCGCATACGCCGAGCGCGAGATCGCGGTCGAAAAAAAAGCGGCGACGCCGTCCGCGCCGTCATGTCGCGCCCCTCGTTCCGCGCGCGACCGATCGACATCAACGTCGCGCTCGCGATCATCCGCGACGCGGACGTGATCAACAGCGACGAGCAAGTCGTCGCGAGGGAGGTCACGCACGCGCACAAGAACCTTGACAAAGACAACGAGGAGGTGCGCGCGCGATCCGCGTTCAACAGGCCGCCATTCCGTTCGCGGTTTATATTAAACCCTCGATCGACGAGTTATTCCGTTCGACGTCGCGCGTTCGACGTCGCGGGTTCGGTTTGAAAACCTCGCGAGCGCAGTCGGTGAAACGAGTCGCGTTCAAAACTCGATTCTTCCCTCGCTCCGCTCGCGCTCGCGCTCGCGCTCACGCGTCGGCCCCTCCTCTAAATACATCCCTCCACCGCGTCCCGCCGCCCACCACCGCACCAGGTGCTGACGAAACCGGTGGACAAGCAGACGTCCAAGGATGGCAAGGACAAGGAGATTCCAATCCCAGAGATTCGCGCCGTGTCCACGTACGAGCAGGACTACCGGCCCAACTATCGCAAGTCGACCACCTACCTCCGAGGCGCCACGTTCGGCGCGCCGCCCCCGGAGACGGTGGAGTACGACCTGGACAACGACGACGAGGACTGGCTCGAGAAGTACAACGACGGCCAGAACCGCCTCCCCGCGGAGAAACTCGAGATCATGATGTGGAAGGTGCGTTCTATACACTGGTTCCCATACGACCCCGTTCGCGTGGTGAACGCCGATCCTTAAGGACTTTGCCCGGCGTGTCTCTCCGCCCACCCCTCGGTTTCAATACCCGCCCGTGGCGCCTTTCAACTCCAACTGACGCCTTTCAACTCCACCCCGACATCGCTTCGTATGGAACGATGTGGAAGCTGGAACGCGCGTGCGGAGACGCCAACGACGTCGCGAGCGCCGAGCGCGCCGCCGAGGCGACGGAGAAGGGGCAGATCATATCGTACCAGGATAAGTGCGCGATGGCGGCGTCGACGAAGGCGCTGCCGAAGGCGAAGGCGATCGAGCTGCTGGAGGAGGTGAGCGGGAGGCCCGCGCTGTTGGACGCGGTGTACGAGTACTGGGCGAACAAGCGAAAGGCGCGTTCTATCTCACACTGGTCCCCATACGACCCCGTTCGCGTGGTGAACGCCGATCCTTAAGGACTTTATTTCCCGGCGTTCGTCTCTCTCCGCCCAGGGTCCCTCGCTTTCAATCCCCGCCCGCGCTGCCTTTCAACTCCATCTGACGCCTTTCAACTCCACCCCGACGTCGCTTCGTATGGAACGACCCTAAAAGACGACGGGGAAGCCGTGCCTGAGACGGCTGCAGCCGCCGCCGGCGCCGAACGACGCGAACCCGTTCAACGTGTTCCGTCAGCGCGAGAAGACGAACCGGCCGCAGACGCGTCGACGCCGGGAGAACGACGCGGCGTCGTACGAGAAGCTGAGGCAGATTCGACGGCACATGGAGTGCGCGTACGCCGTCGTGGAGCTGCAGCTGAGACGAGAGGAGAAGAAGTTGGAGCGGGCTCGGTGCGAGGTGGACGCGCAGGCGCTCGCGATCAAGCTGAAGCACGAGCCGCGGACGCTGCACGAGGAGATCGAGGCTGAGTTCGCGGCGAGGCCGAGCGCGAAGGCGCTGACGCAGAGGGAGCTGGAGTGGGACGCGACGAAGCCGTTTACGCTGCCGCTGTCGAGGGTGGAGATTTGTTTCGGGTCGGACGGCGCGTACCACCTCGGCGGGGAGCGGTACCGGGAACAGATGGACCGCGATGCACACCGCGGCGGGCACGACAAGAAGTCGAAGAAGCGACGACGGGAGGAGCTCGCGATGGCGGCGATGGCCCCGGCGGCGTACGGCGGCGGCGGCGGCGGGTTCGGCGGCGGGTTCGGCGCGCCGCCGATGTACCCCGCCGGGTTTGAACCCAGGCCGTACCGCCCGTCCATCCCGGTCGAGCCGGTCACGCCGTATCAACCCCCGCCGGAGATACCGGACATCGAGATGATCTTCGCGCAGACGCCGAAGATGAACACGCTGCGGGAGTTTGTGCTGCCTCTCGGGCTGCACAAGCAGCGGTGCAGACCGAGGGTGGCGCGCGGGGGGAGGATAGTGTTCGACCTGAAGGATCCGCTGTCTCGGGAGCCGTACTTCGACGGCGGGCCGGGGCCCGACGGGTTGCCCGCGGACCCGGACGAGGACGAGGACGACGAGAACGTGACCCCGTCGCACGCGATGATGCCGCGCGTGCGCGTGTGAGGATTTGAGGAGGATTTGAGGAGGAATCCGACAAAAAAAAACGATAGCAAAACCAGGCGAGGCGACGAGGCCGGGGATCGGACGACCCGCGCGAGGGCGCGGCGTCGTTCGCTCTTCCGGCGGGCCTGAAAACCTAGCGCACGCGGAAGACGACGTGTAACAAACGACAAAACAAACGTAGCGTCGAACAGAGCAGAACAGACGCGGCGCACCGATCGCGCGCGCGCTCGGCGTCTCTTCCGTTTTCTTTATTTATTTCAACGGGTCCACATCGGGTCCACATCCGGTCGCCGCGCGCCGTTCCGTTCTCCCCGTCCCCCTTCAGTTTCCGCCCTCGGGCGCCGGGCCCGCGCCGCCGCCGCCGCCGCCCTCGCTGTCGTTCCACTTCGCGAACATCGCCCGTCGCTCCTCGTCGGTCATCCCCTTCGCGCTGACCTTGTCGTCGTCCCTCCGCCCCGGCGCGTCGCGGCGACCTCCGTCGTCTCTGTACCTGTCGTCGCGCCCGCCGCCGCCGCCGCCGCCGCCGCGTCGGTCTCTCGACCTCGACCGCGACCGCCTCCGCCCGCGATCGTCACCGCCGCGACGATCGTCTCTGCCGCGGTCGCCGCCGCCGTACGGGTGATGCCGGTCGTCGCGGGGTCGGTCGCCGCGTCCTCTGTCGCGGTCGCGTTCGCGGTCGCGGTCGCGGTCGCGGTCGCGGTCGCGGTCGTCCCTGCGCTTGTAGCGACCGAATAGGATCTTCCGCAGGTTCCTCGAGATCGGCTTCAGGTGCATGAAGTTGCAGTACCCGCCCCTGGTGCACGTGTTCTCTTCGTACTGCCGGCACGTGGACTCGCGGAAGTCGGTGACCGGGGAGAATTCGCACAGGATCGGCCGCCCGGCGTAGAACCGCCCGCTGAGCGCGTTGAGCGCCGCGAGCGCGGACTCCTCCTCGCGGTATTTCACGTACACGTTCCCGACGAGGTGATCCGCGAGGTTATCGCAGATGTTCAGACCCTCGATCTCGCCGTACGTCGCGAGCTCCTCGAAGATGTCTTCGTAGAAGTCCTCGAAGTGCTCTTGCATCTTGCGCGCGTCCGGCGCCTCGGGGACCGCGCCGGACGTCGCCGCCTGCGCGGCCATCGCCGCCTCGGGGCTCTGGTACATGTTGGACATGAGGATCGTCTGCGAGAGCGTCGGTTTGTTGTGCAGGCGCGAGCATCGGTCCCCGTGCCTGCACGCGCCGATCTGGGGAGGGGAGGAGGAAGGGTCGAGAAGCGCGGCGTGAGATCGCGTCGTTCGTTCGTTCGGCGGGCGGCGAGGACCGACCGATCGATCGTTCGATCGTTCGTTCGTTCGTTCGTTCGATCGCGTTCGGCGGCGGGGCGATCCGCGCGCGCACCTTGAAGTAGAACGGGCAGTTCACGCGATCCTTCTCCGTACCGAAGATGGACGCGAGGTGTTCCGCCATTTCGTCGCCGTCGGAGGGAGTCCGCCGCGGATCTGCCGGATTAATTTGTGAACGCCGGAGTCGCGCGCTCGCGCTTTTTCTTTTTCTTTTTCGGTCGTCGGCGCGGGTTTCGCGAAATGTGCCGCCATCGCGTCGACGCGCGCGGCCTCGCACCGCACGCGCCCGCGGCCGCTCGTCATGCCCAAAGAGACGATGGGCGGCGTCGCCGCCCTGGGCGTCGCGCTGAACCTCGGCGGCGATAAGGCGACGCACAACGTCGAGAAGCTGTTGGAGGCGTTGCGCGACGTGCGCGGCGGCGGCGGCGGTGGCAAGGCGGAGGCGGACGCGCGCGCGGCCATCGTCGCGCTCGAGACGTTCTTCTCCGAGCGCCTCGGCAAGGGCGAGCTCCGCGTCGCGGGGACCAAGGCGGCCGCGCTCGATGCGAGCGCGATGAAGCGCGCGGAGTGGCTCGGGCGGCAGTACAAGCTGTTCCTCAAGCGCCTGTGCGCGCTCGTCGCGGGAGGCGGAGGAGGAGGACGCCATCGCCATCGCGGCGACGACGGCGGCGACGACACCTTCGAGCCGGTGTCGCCGCGGACGACGACGCTCGCGCTCGCGGCGACGATGGAGTGCGCGCGGTCGGAGCACCCGGGGACGTTCGCCGCGGACCCGTGGGTGAACGCGCTGCGAGCGGCGACGACGGGCGACGCGTTCACGCCGGAGCTCCTCGGCGCGATGTCGTCGCGTTATTTCAGGCGCGTTCTATACACTGGTCCCCATACGACCCCGTCGGCGTGGTGAACGCCGATCCTTAAGGACTTTCGCCGGCGCATCTCTCCGCCCACCCCCCGCTTTCAATCCCCGCCCGCGTTGCCTTTCAACTCCAACTGACGCCTTTGAACTCCACCCCGACATCGCTTTGTATGGAACGACCCTCAGCTACGCGGACGCGCGGTATCACGCGTATCAGTGCGTGGTGAAACTGTGCGAGGAGACGCGCGCGAAGGCCGCGGCGAAGAAGAGAGGACGACGCGAAGAAGACCGCGAGAGAGAGGACGACGTCGCGAGGTGCGTGTACGACGTCCTCGCGAATCTCCCGAGGGAGTTCGACGACTTCGCGTCGGGCGGCGATATCGGCGCGAAACCGGCGGCGGGGGGCGACGAGGAAAACTTCGAGGCGATGCTCGGCCTCATGAAAGGCGGCGACATCGGCGGCGATGTCGAAGAGCGGCGAGACGAAGAGAAGGCGTGGTGCCTCGGCCTCAGCGTCGGCGAGGCCGCCGCCGCGGAGCGCGCCGCGGATGCCGCCAAAGCCGCGGGCGCGCGACGGAAAGAGACCGACGCCGCCGTCGCCGCGGCGACCGCGACCGCGACCGCCGCGCGAAAGGCTGCCGCGAAGACGTCGCCGAAGTGGAAGGACGGCAAGCGCCACAGACGTCTATTCGCGGACGCGTGGCTCGCGTTCCTTCGGACGCCGATGCCACCGGACATTTACCGGAAGACGTTGACGTCGCTGCACGACGACGTGATCCCGCACCTGCCCAACCCGCAGCTCCTCTCGGACTTTTGCACGCACAGCATCGACCGCGGCGGGCTGGACGGCATGCTCGCGCTGAACGGGATCTTCGTGTTGATGACGAAGCACGGTCTGGAGTACCCCGCGTTCTACGCGAAGCTGTACGGGTTGCTGACGCCCGAGGCGTTTCACGCGAGGGGCCGCGGCGGGTTCTTCGAGCTCCTCGACGTCTTCCTCAAATCCTCCGCGTTGCCCGGATACCTCGCCGCGGCGTTCATCAAACGCCTCGCCAGGTGCGTCCCATACACTGGTCCCCATACGACCCCGTTCGCGTGGTGAACGCCGATCCTTAAGGACTTTGCCCGTCGTCTCTCTCCGCCCACCCCTCGCTTTCAATCCCCGACCTCGACGCCTTTCAACTTCAACTGACGCCTTTCAACTCCACCCCGACGTTCGCTCGCCAGGCTCGCGCTGCGAGCGCCGCCCGCGGGTGCGATGACGTGCGTCGCGTTCGCGCATAACTTACTCCGCAGACACCCGGGGTGCGCGGTGTTGGTGCACCGAGGTCCGACGGAGGAGCGCGCGTCCGCCGCGGAGGGGGCGCTGGCGTCGTTCGCGTCGGATCCGTACTCGGGTGCGTCCTCTTCTTCACACCAGACTGGTTCCCGTACGACCGCGTCGGCGTGGTGAACGCCGATCCTTGAGGACTTTCTCTCCCGGCGTGTCTCTCCGCCCAGGGTCCCTCGCTTTCAATCGCCGCCCTCGACGCCTTTCAACTTCAACCGACGCCTTTCGACTCCACCCTGACTTCGTCAGAGCGCGAGCCCGACCCGGCGAAGTGCGACGCGCTGAAGAGTTCGCTGTGGGAGCTGAAGACGCTCGCGGAGTCGCACTATCACCCGCAGGTGGTAAAGCTCGTCAAGATGATCCAAGAGCGCGACCTGTCGGACCGAGTGAAGACGAAAGAGCTCCCGGTGAAGGCGCTGTGCGCGGCGTCGTACGCGAGTCTCGTCGCGGAGGAGCTGGACGCGAGGGTGAAGGTGCGTTCTATACAATGGTTCCCATACGACCCCGTTCGCGTGGTGAACGCCGATCCTTAAGGACTTTGCCCAGCGATTCTCTCCGCCCATCCCTTGCGTTCAATACCCGCCCGCGGCGCCTTTCAACTCCAACTGACGCCTTTCAACTCCACCCCGACATCGCTTCGTATGGAACGACCCTGAAGACCGCCGCGTTGGCGCACCACGGATCGAGAGGGTTGTCGGGGCTGTTCGCGTCGAGGACGTTCGCGGAGTGCGGCATCGGAGGCGGCGGCGGCGGCGACGGGTTGGTGTTCCGGTGGAGAGAGAGCGAGGCGGAGGTCGAGGGTGGGCGGCTCCTCGAGGGGGAGAACGCGGCGGTCGCCGCCGGCGCACGATGACCGACTGCCTTCGCGCCGCGATTGACGTTTCATTTAGACGACCCCCTCTACAGTACTCACGGCGATATACTACGCCTTCTTCTTCCCCTCGGCCGGACCTATCGCGCGCTCGAGATGAGGCGAGAAGACCTCGTACACGACCGTCATCGGGACGCCGTCGTGCCAGAAGATGTAGTGCCGCCCCCAAAACGGCCCGGGCGCGTCGAAAATCTCTTCCAACGCCGCGCTCTCAGGGTCGTTCCATACGAGCGAACGTCGGGGTGGAGTTGAAAGGCGTCAGTGCAAGTTGAAAGGCGTCGCGGGCGGGGATTGAAAGCGAGGGGTGGGAGGAGAGAGAGGACGGCAAAAGTCCTTAAGGAACGGCGTTCACCACGCCGACGGGGTCGTATGGGGACCAGTGTATAGAACGCACCTCGCCGCGGTACACCGCGCGCATCTCGCGGTACAGCTCGACGTTCTTCTCTCGCAAGTTGGTCCACATCGGCGTCCGCGAATCCGTCATGTACGCCCTGAACGTCTCCTCTGACCACCACGACGCGGCGTACACCATCGGCGCGTCGCTCGCGTCGCCGCCGTCGTCTTCGCCCTCTTCGCCGTGACTCTCCCCGTCCCGATCCCTCGCGCTCTTCCTCTCGCCGCTGCCGAGCCCGAGCACCACCTCGCGCTGCACGAGCGCCGCCCCCCCCGTGCTCTTCCCCGCCGCCTCTACGATCCTTCGCACGTCCTCCGCGATCCCCCCCACCGGGCACGTCTCGATCGTCCCCTGCCGCAGACACGTCAGCGTCGACGCGCGAAGCTCCGGGCACAGGAGCCTGAGGCATCGTCGTTCCATACAAAAAAGTTCACACATCGGTCAGTTGAAAGGGGACGCGATCAAGTGTTGAAACCGGGAGATGGGTGAAAAACTTTTCATGTACAGAACGCACCTGAGGTGGCGCGTCACGCTGCCGTCGGACATGAGGAGCATCCGCCACGACGGCGCGAGCGACTTGAGGACGTCGCCGCGCAGCGCGGTCTCCTCGTCCGCGGTCCAGAGCGGCGAGAGGCGGTGCCACGACGTCGTCGTCGTCGCGTCGTCGCACCACAGCGGCGATACGGCGTCGGAGGAGGAGGAGGAGGAGGAGGAGGAGGAGGAGGAGGAGGAGGACGCGAGCGTCGCGATCGAACGCCGCGCGCGCGACGACGTGGACGCCGAGGAGGGCGCCGCCGCGGAGGAGGACGAGGACGCCGCCGCGCGTCGACGGCGGACCCGCGGCGCGCGGCTCGCGGGAAGCGCGGCGGCGGCGGCGCGCGCCATCGTCGCGGCGCGCTGGAGGGGTCGCCGCGCGCGATCGTTGTGTGACGATGACGTCCGGTCGCGGTCGTCGACGGCGAAAACACTCAGCTTCTTCCGTCACGCTCACGCCGCAGATGCGTCGTCTGTTCATCGGGGGATCCTCAG